AACGCCTTTATTTCACCCAAAAAGTTAAAGTCTAAAGATCCACCCCAGCAGTCCAGCCCCCCGGAACCCCGCGGGGGGTCTCCCCCCCTCAAGGATTCCATGAGGGAATTTTGACTGGGGGCCCTTTGGACAAGGCTCCGCAACCTTCCTGTGGCTCCAGAGCCGTCAATATGGAGCCGGAACCCCCCTCGTGGGTTCAATAGCTTGGGAACCCAGTGCAACACATATTCCCCGACCAGAATGCCATGAAATGCCATATGCCTCGGGTTCCACCTGGAGAGGTTCCAGGAAATAACCCCAGATCAAACACCAAAAGGCGCATTGTCGCCTCTGGTTTGCTTGGGATCAAGCTGGACCTTCCAACCGGACTTTCCTAAGGCATTGGCCTCGGGTGAACCCAGCTGGTCTTATATCAAGCCGCATCAAGCCCAAGGTCTGGTTCAAAGTCCACGACAAAAAAACAAACTTGTATTTTTGTTCCAGCCACTCAAGGTAGATGACAAACAAAGGTTCAAGAACAAATGCAAGTTACGTTTTGGAAAAGTCAGTAAAGACCTGCTGACTCAAAGACACCTCCGATGGAGAACCGTGCGAAGGGCATGGGGTCGGGCTCCAACCCGCGATCCCCTCTGGCTCCAACCCTTGTCTCGCTCTCCGGAAGTTGAATTTCAGCACTTGCCAAATGTCTGCAAAATGGGTCAGCCAAAAGCCAACTAGCAGAGAAAACAGATGGACAACCATTGATTTCCAGATTTCAAGGCCCACCCAAAGACATGAGAGGACATCTGCGTGTTTGCTTGGCTCTCGAAGACATGGTCGGTATTTTGATTGCCCTGAATGGTCGCAAGCGCTTCCTTTCTGACAAAATATATGTAGATGTGCATATATATATATATACATCTCCCATTTCGTGGGACATCGCTTCATTTTCGGGGTTTGGTCAAGGACCTTTTGATCAACCCATATGGGTCGAATTTTTGGGTCGAAATTAAAACACCAGGAAAACCGCAGGTTTTTGTCCTCGTGTCCATTTAAGCAAGAAGGGTAATCCTTTAGCCATCTTGGGGTTGCCGTGTTACCCAACTTTTGACACGTTGTGGTTTAGTGGGACACCTTTTCTTTTTAGTGGTTTGCCCCAATGGTCATCCCTTCTAAAGGACCTTTTGATCACCATACTAATACACATCTTACAAGGGGAATCAACCCATTACCTTGCGATTCCCTATGAAGGATTACCCATTACCTTGTGACCACCTTGTCGGAAACCGCTCCCGTTTGGATCAGTCGATGCCCGGCGTGCAGCACGCGGGTGACGGTCCCCGCGCCTGCAGATCTTTGCGCGCCTCGTACTCCTTCCTCCGGGCCGTCTCAACCTAAAAGCCGGTCGCTGCCAGGACAAAACACCGGAAAGCGGCGGGAACGGTTGACCTGATTGTTGCTGTAGAAGTGTTTTTTTTATTTGTTTGTTGGTTTGCTTGTTCTTTCTTTCTTGCTTTCTTTGTTAGCTTGTCTGTTTGTTTGATTGTCTCTCTCTCTCGGTTTGTTTGTTGGTTTGTATGTTTCCTTGTTTCTTTGCGGCTTTGTTTTGTGTGTTTGCTTAATTGCTTGTTTGTTTGACTGTGACGGGACTGCGTCCTTAAGACATGATTTGGATTCTAGTTAGACGAGTTAAACATGCACTAGAATCAAACACGAATTCCGCTGAAGGGTTTGGATCTCCGGAAAAGTTTTCGCGCCTCAGCAACTTTTTTTACGGTCCCCAAGGTCCATTTTGGTGAAAATGCGAGCCCCAAAAGGTACTCCCAATGGACGTCCTTTGAATTGAAGCGTTTGTTTTAGCACCATCCCTTGTTTGCAAACGCTTTTAGACCCCTCCAGATGTGTTTTTCAGATGGCGCTCTTCGGCCCTTTTGCATTCGGAAAATCCGGAACTCGGGCAACGTCAAAAAAACGTCCAAAACTCACGGCGGTGACAGTCTCGAAATTTTCCACTGACTCTACATGGTGGTTTAGTGAGTTCATTTGACCGTTGCTTCCGCGGACCCTTCCGCATGCTTGCCGCGGGCGAAGAGGTGCCTTCTGCGGACGCGGCACCAAGTTGTTCATCGCTTGCTTCCGCACAGCATGTTTTACAAGATTTGCTTCCGCGAGTAGTGGCGCAGGAAGGAAGGTCAGTCCAGGCATAAGTAAACCACAAAGCATCCGCAAACCTTCCACGAAAGAAATTCCTTACACGGAGCCTTCCGCGTGATTCCGTGCGTGTAGCGCGGTGCACATTTTCAAGAATCATGTCCCTCTCCCTACTACTTTAGCTTGTGCGCAAAAACGCGCCGCTCATTTTGAGAACGGGTCTCCCTCAACTGGCAACCAGCAGGGGCCCAGTAAAGCATTGCAAGAGGCAACCTTTCCGGGGGAATCTCTACTCTGCGTACCCTCTTTTTAAGCGCATACGCTGAAAGAAATGTGTTTCATGGCACCAGGATTGTCAAACTATCCTCAAACACGGGACACTATCAAATTTAAAGGGTAACTTGAGGGTCCAGTAGGGATCATTACAGTATACACCTGAACATTGCCTTGCAAATGGTGGATTCCCTTTATTTTGGTGGAAAAAGCCATGTTTCAAATGATTGCAAAATGTATCTTTTAAGGAGCCCTGTCCAGCTACCGTTCGTTTTTTTCAGGGCGCGACCTCGCGGTGGAAAAGCCGGGGCGTTCTGGGGGACACCAGGCGACCCGGGCCCGTTGCATCAGCTTCTTGGCCACAGAGAGCTGGGTCTCCCACCTGAAAGTTCGAGCCCAGTGTTTCCAGAGCTTCCACAGGTCCGGGGGAAAAAACATCATGTACCTGTTAACATACCCAAGGGTGACCTATGGGAAAGACCCCCCTGCCCAGTGAACATCAACCAATCCAACCACTAAAATAGGTTCTAACATGTGGGTGAATTCTCCTACCAAAAATTGGATCCCAAAACGGTTTGGACCCCAGCTTGGTTGCTGCAACGACCCCCCTGCAAAAAAACTTGATTTCAACCAAAAAGTGAAAGTCTAAAGATCCAACCCAATAGCAGTCAAGCCCAGTGCTTCCAGTTACAGGTCCAGGGGCAAAACCATCTGTACCTTGAGCTAACATACCCAAGGGACCTATGAGAAATGGAAACACTGGGCCAAGGAACACCCTGGACCCAACTACCTCCAACAAAATGGGACATTCACCAAAATTATCTGAGGGTCCCGGCCCCTCTTCGCAAATTGTGAGTTGCTGGTTTGTTGCCGCCTTTCCAAAGGATTTCAGAACTGCGCGTGCTGAAAATATGGAGAATTTGAGAGTTCAGGCTCCGAGGGGGTTGAACTCCCCATGGGGCATTGGGAATGCCACCATTGGGGCGCGCTGCCATTGCGCCACGGGCCTCTGCGCATTCAGAGGCCCAAAACTCCCTCAAGATAGAAAACTTCTCCATGTCTGGGTCAATCCGAGCCTTGGTGGAAAACAAAGGGAACCCGAAGAGCTGCGCGGAACACAAGGTCTGGAATGGCTGTTTGCACAGGCAAATTGTGTGGGCGACTGGTGGCTTCACCATTTTCTTTGGCGAGACCGAAAAACTGGGAAAGAGGCAACTTACCATCAAGCGAACTAGTTTGAAGATTAAACGGATAGATCAAAGGCTTCCCTGTGCTTCCTCGACTATTCTTTAAATAGCCTCGACCATTTAAAAAACGAAAGGCTATAAAAGTAATGTCCCTCGACCATTAAAAGTAGGTCTAGACAAACTTGTCCAACTTGAGACGGCTGGCTCCTGACATCCCCACGCGCTTCCGTGCAGTGAGAGGTTGAAGAACTATATTGCCGCCTTTTATGAAATTAGCTCAGTATGTTTTACAGTCGCTTCATCCCGTTGTAATCACACGCCGTCACCATGCTGTGTCAATATGGCTTGTCCCTCACATGCCCGTGCGTGTTTTTCCACTTCTTGTCCACAGCTCCACAGAGTCTGATCGCGTGTTGTTTGTTGATTGTTTAATCGTTTTCGAAAAATGAGGCGTGGACAAACCATGGACAAACCGTGGAAAGTACGTTTTTTAGCGTGGAAAGTACGTTTTTTAGCGTGGAAAGTACGTTTTTTAGCGTGGAAAGTACATTTAAAAGCGTGGACAACCATACCCCCAGGAGCCAACAACGCATGTTTGATCGGCAGCGATGCCCCGAAGCCACTAAGATTGCAGCATTTTTCAAAAAAGCCGGACTTCAGTACCAACATGCGAAAAATCTATGCACGCCTCTACAGTAGGCGGGACACCTGGCGATTTTGAAAAGTGATGCGACCATACATTTGGCAAGCCGGGGAATGAGTGGCTTGGGTGCAGTCATTTGCAGCTGGGAGGATGAGGGCGGCGTGACTTTCAGTGACCTGACCCTAAGCAATTCTTGGGCAACAAAAACAAATTATTTTTTGGATATTCAGGGCCAGGCGCAAAAAACAGTCTTTCGGCAAAAAACAGTCTAGCAACCTCGACCATTCTTTTAATGGCCTTTGGAAGCCTAGGGGGCTTACCTACCCTGTCTTGCCCGGATCTGCGGTAGGGCCACGGAATCCAGCCGACCACCAACTGGAGCCCCGTTGCTCGGATTTGGTCTGGGACACGGCCGCGAGGGTCGAAATGAGGCTTCCCAGTCCGAATCCATGCGTATCTGTGCAAACCGTCCTCGTATTTATCTAGCGGATCTTCACGCCCCAAACCTATGGCGAGTTGTTGCGTTGGCTGTGAACAAGCTTTGGGGCTGTCCCTTCAAGGCTGTATGTGCATGAATGCTAATTCAATGGACATCAGAATTCGGGAAACAAATGTCACACTATCGAGATTCTCCATGAACATTCACAGATATCCAAGACTTCTCTCTTCATGCACCTTCAGGGGTCACCCTCCAGTTCCATCTTGAACATGAAAGTTCCTGATTCCTCAGGCACGCCCGAAAAAGGGGTGTGTCAGCGCCCAAGCACTCCGGGCTTCCGCGCTGCTCGAAGGAGAGGCCCTCCTCCCCGAGCAAAGGCATCATCAGCGGCAGGATCCGCTCCGCAGTCATCTGCCATCCGCCCAGACCGGAAAATGTGTCGCAACGGGGGTGTTTGTGTGTGTGTGTTTTTTGCTTTTTGCGCCAGGGCTGGCCCTACCCTGAAAAACGAACGCCCAAATGAGGGTTTCCCTTCAAAAGCTAGCAAACAAAGGGAGGCTTCCCCAAAACAAATGCTCAACAAGTGGGTCCATCAAAGTGACATGGTCGAAATGATCCCCGGAGGTAGGCGCGAGTATTTTTAGAAGGGGCTTCAAGTAGAAGAACTGCCCGTCGAATGGTTGGGTTACGTTACAACCCCTTGTTGGAAGAAGGCAACCCGAAATCCGGCGCGGCCCCACCTTGTGGCCCAGGTTTTTGCTCATGGCGTCGTAGCAGCCGAGCAGGCACATGCACACTGCAGGCGTGCGGTCCTGCGCGAGGGGAATCGGATCGGATCGGATCAGCCCAATCCCGTCACCTGCCGGAGCAAGGCCTACTGTGGATGGACAAAATCCTCTTAGGCACCACCTAAGAAAGCCTGGAATGATGATTCCCCTGTAAATACCAATGAACAATGGTTTCCCATGGTTTCCAAGTGGTGCAGGATTTTGTCCATCCAAAGTATGGGATTCCCTGGCCATTGGAGCATCACCATGAAGTACACCACCTAGGTCCTCCAGTTTTGGAGGTTAAAAGGTTAAAATAAAGCTGCCCCAGATTTTTTCTGTCCATTTTAGTAGGGTCCCGAGCCCTCCCCAAAAAAAGGGGCAAAAGAGCACTGGGGGACCTAGCCACTATTTACTCAATTTCATGGGTCCTTGCCATTGAAATGGGGGTTGAAGCTGACCAATTGGGAAGGGGCCCTTTACGTTTAAGGCTGCATTTTTGGAGGAGGATGAGGAAGATTGAGCCCGACCTTTTCTCTTGGATGTGGCACCCTTGGAACTGTGCTCTGCCACCCCCGTTCGATCTTGGTCCCTCGAAGACAGGTGTGCCCTGGATGAAGGGCCTCCACTAAACAAGAAGCGTACCGTAACTGCTAAGGGTGCAGTTGACTTGGGGTCAAAGCTGCCTTGTTTCCAATATTTCCATGTTGGTTCGACTGAGTTGCTTTGCCATTTTCGCTAGTAGCATGCTTGAGGCGCCGCGCGCAGCTGGGCGCCTGCGTGGTTGCAGTCTATTTTGGCCAAGCAATTTCTTAGGTCGGGATTGTTCGAAGTACAGAATGTGAACTAGTTGGTTTAAATTTGAAGAAGAACCCTTCCAGAAAAGGGGGACAAAGGGCACACTTGGAGCGTTTGGGGAAGTGCCACCCTCGAACCCTTGAAAACGCACGCCCAAACCATAAACCACTTTTTCTCGCAGTGCACGTTCGAAAGACTACTTCCGCCCAGCTGACGGGCGCTTTTCAGCATTTGCGCTTCGCAGGCCAAAGCGTCGCATGAGCAGCGCCCAAAGATGGAAAGCAACATGGCAATAAACTGGGTCCTTTCGTAGAGAGGTTAGAATAAGGGTACCCTTTTTCTGTAGTCTACTTCAGTAGGGAAACCCTCCCCCAACAAAGGGTAAAAGGGCACTACCGGGGTCTGCAAGGACTTACTTGTATCATATGATGCAGGTTACAGGCCCTATCATGGCCTCCATTGACCCAAGTAATGCAAATGCTATGACCGTGGTAAGCCAAGTAGCTGTTGCTTTCGTCTGTATAGCCCTCACTACAGCGCCAATGAAACCAAGTCGGAGCGAACCACCAACTACCCCCCCCCCCAGAACACACTGTCACCTCCACCACAAGGCCTTGCTATACCCCCATAGAAAACAAACCTTCAGATGAATTCAAAGCAGTTCATAAACACTACAAACAACTCCGATTCAACCAGGCAGAGGAACCACCCACCACCAAAGTTGCCAACAAGCCTAGCTTCAAGTGCTAAAGGTTCATATCTGCAATGCCCCTATTAGCCATCAAGGTAGCTCCTAGGCCCAATGCAAAAACCCGGCAGGAACGGAAGTACCCACGGCTGCTCATGAGTCGCTGCGTCACATGACTTTTTGCTCCTGGCTAAGGTGTAAATATAGGCTCTACTATACCATAACATGGCGCACATCTGTGCACGGAAACTAAACTGTTCTGACTATCTGTTATATTTAGTCCGCCCCTTCTGAAAAACATTTTTTTTTTTAAAAAAAAAAAAAGAGAGGAAACAAAAAAAAAAACAACAGGTATTCTAAACAGCTACCTAATAAAAGAAGAGGAAACAACAACAAAAAAAAACGACCAGGTATTCTAAACAGCTACTCAAGTGGCCCAACGATGGACTCTTTCCGTTTCGGTTTCGGCCCGCTCACATGGCGCTGGCCACCGAGGGGCTGCGGCTGCCCCCACGCCGGGCCGAGGCCTCCGATCCCGTCGCCGTCGCCTGCGCGCGCCCGCGCAAGGCTTCCCCCCCGCCACGTAGGCGGGGAAGGTGGCTGTGGCTCAAAAACACGTACCAAACTGGCACCCTTGGCAAATGGAACCAAAGACTAAGACCAAACTGTAACCCAAGCTCTTGAATTTTGAGCCGCACCCAGGTGGGAAGGGAAAGCTCCCCCCCAACAGCCCAGATAGCCAAGTTGCTGCTTTTTTGTCAATCACCGTTGCTGGTGTTTGGGGTAAAGTGCATGGAAAAGAAACAGCAACTGGCGATAGTTCCCTGGTGCTCAGCAAAGGCGCAAATTGCGCCTGTAGGGAAAAGCAATCAGCACAGTACGTCGTGTAGTACAAGTTAACAGCTTCAGCCATGGGTTCGATCATACATGGGTCCCTTTCGAATGCGAACAAAGCCACCGATTTCGAATGCTTGCATCTGGGTTTCGAAGCTCTATCGACGCTGTTGCCAAGGGCCTTTGTGGCCTTTCGGTGCCGCTTGGCATTGCGGGGAGCACTGGTGAGTCAAAACCAAGCCATGTTCATCCAAGCACCTGGGCCCTCTACCCGAAAGCAAGATTGGATGTTGCCCCAATTCGGTGGCTTGCTCAGATGTTGCCCCGATTCGGTGGTTGAAACCCTAGAGCCATGTTCATCCAAGCACGACCCTCTACCCAAAAAGACTAGACGTTGCCCTGATTCGGTGCCAGTTACCCGAAAAGATGAGATGCTGCCAAGCTGGCTTGCCATTGCTACGTCTTTTTTTTGTTTCCAGGCGTCACCTTTCGCGACCCCTTTCCTTTCCTTTCCTTTCGGTAAGCCACGTCCGCATGTTGCGGTCAGCTGTCTCAATTCTGACATGCAAGCTTAAAAGAAAACTCCAAGATCGACCCCCATTAATCGGCCGCCCCCGCCATCTTCGAATCCGACGGATCCGCTGGACGGCCTCCGAGCGCCTGGCCGGCGCCGGGGGGCTGATCCAGAGCGCCTCGCCGAATAGGAAAGCGAAAGCGGAGCCATCGGAGCCGCGGGGCACAGACTGGAGCGCCCAAAGTCCGAACCTTTGGGGCGCCCAAAATCCTGGCGAAACAGATCTTCTTTGGCCTGTTTTTTGGGTCAAGTTCATTTGAAACCATTTGTTCACATAAATGTTATATAGCCTTTCTCTGACCGCCTAAGAAACCAGGTAGGACGCAACGGCCATTTGTTTGTTTATTTGGGGGGGCGGTTGGCGCGTAGGACCAGCAGGGACAGGAAGTTTGTATGAGACTCTCCAGAACGACCCTACAGCTCCAGGAAAATTCTGCAAGATGGGCAAATACACAAAGGGCTTTACGCTTAAGTAGAAGGGGTGCTAGACTTGGGTGTTCGGCCAACGTAAGTTGTCGGTGACCTATGTTATAACCCACTAAGTCCCCCTTTCAGCCGAGGCAACCCACAAACAGCCCAGGTGGTTGACCACTTGCTAACTTTGGCCGATCAAGTATGACCCTTCGAAGATGTGGTCACGCCGATGGATGAACTCTTGCACTTGATAGGTGGGGTGTCCCATTCATAGGGCTTCGTTCATCCCAACTGGTGAGAAGCGGATTTGCTCCATCCTACCCAAGATCCCCTTCGTCAGGGCTGTCAGGATCAAACCTCAAGCAAGCTGACATAACAAATTGGACATAGAAGGGAATCGGCGAGCTTGCCACTGGGTGAGGTCTGAGTCGTTTTTTCAAAAAAAAGCCCAGCTCAAGGCGGCCAACCTGGACCTTTGGCCTCAAATTCAGGAGGTTTGGACCTAGCCATCCGATGTCTTCAACCCGGAAAGGGCGAAGGGCGCTTTGCCTAAGCGAACCTTAGGACGCCCTCAGACGCTTTCTTACGCGGTGTCTTGCGCCATGACTCTCCAAAGGCTTCGGATGAAAAGCCACATCTGGAGTCAACCTTTCATTCATTTCCGGAATAGGAAGCTGACTCCTGGTGGTTGCAGGATGGGCGAACTATGATTCGGGAAACAGGAAATAAGGAACCCCAAGTACGGGGCATTCAGCATGAGCTCGTGTCTTGGTTTCCTCTTTCGGCATCCCGTAGCATTCAACTGCAAAGTTTACAACGATTCCAAACCCCACATAAAGGGATCCCCGAGAAAGCGACCCACATGCCCTGAATCGGTGAGCTCGCCACAAAACAGGCAAATTCCAAGGCGCCCTTTTTGAAACTTCCCCTTTTTGAGCCTCGGCTCAAAGGAAAACCAGAAAAAAACCAAACCGGGGGGTCCCCCTACATTAAGACATGCACAAATACAGGAAGCTACCAAGAAAAACCGTTGGCGCCACCATGTTACCATGGCCGTTGCTGGCCTCCCATCCCGGGGCATCTGTGCTCATGAAGCTATCAGCCTCATGGCTGAGCTCTGGGGCTGCTTTGGTTTGGGGCAGCGGCGGAAGAGGCTGAAGCTTGAAAGTAGAATGCATAGGTGTCCTTTTGGGGTAGATAGATGGGTTTCCCGGTAGATGATTAAACCACCAGGTAAACCAGGAATCGCCATCTATTTTTCGAGCACAACAACCAAAAAGGACACCTATGGTAGACTCATGGGTGAGCAATCAGCTTCAACCTCATTTGACTCATGGCTGTGGCTCATGTACTAGAATGGCGCCTTGGTAAATGGGACCAAAGACTAAAACCTACATAACCCTAGCTCTTAAATTTTGAGCCATGCCCTCATGGTTCCCCCAGTCACCGCTCCAATCCGAAACCCTTGAGATCGCTACAATTTGTCCAGACGTCACGCAGATTGGAAGCAATTCAGCACACAGATCCGTGTTTGGAGGTTGATTTTGGTTCCAGATCAATGCGCCCGCAACTTGCAGAGCAACCAAACTGGGCTATCGAACAATTGTCCTTTCTTGGGTGGCTGCTTCCGGATCCGGTTCTCAGGAAAGGTTACAATCCGTCTCAACTTGTTTGCCGAATCCTCGTTTGGACACAGAGAACAACCCGCATTAAAGGGCTTTGCGGGCCCATGCATGC